TACGAAAAAGCCACAATTTGATTCACTCCCTGTGGGTTCGACCCTTACTTGACACTACTACTAGTTAGTAGAGGTTGGTTAAGGAAAAAAATAAATTTTAATTTTGTCGCATTGCGACGCGCGGTCAATATAAGTAATAAAAGTTATTATAATATAACACATGTAAGTCGCACAAGTAACAAGTGTCATTCTAAAATATGTAATAATATATATTTTTTCTGAAAAAAAAAAAGTAAATAAAATTAAAATAATTTCTCTCATTAATTTTAAAATTTAAGAATAATTTTTTAACAAGCACCCGTGTAATACAGGGGTGTTGTACTAGTCCACAGTCATTCACAAATGATATATTGGTATGTGTCTTGCAAGAAATGTACATTTGACATGTATCGTACAATAAAAAGTTATATATGGATCTCCACAGAATTTTTGTATATATAATATATATATATTTAATTGGTAAACACACTCAAAATTACATTCATGTACACTTAAATGCCAAATCATTTAACACTATAAACATGGTTGTTCCATCCATTGTGTTCAATGCATGTAAAATCATTTTTAAATCAATTAAATACTTCCAATTGCTTTCTGATTTTGCCATCTTTTTTGTTATTCACAAAGTGCAATCTTGGCCCCCCACAATTAAATGAAATGTGCTTAAATGATGAACAAAACGTGCAAATGATATTGTTGATTATTAATCACTAAATGGTAATACATTGTTCGGCCAAATGTTGATGTAAATATAGTGCAGTGCATGAAGAGTGATGCGAGTACTTAATTGTTCAACTAAATCAAATGATATATATATAATTGATTTTGTTCAACCAATCGTTGTTGATGTTTTTAGTGTAGGAAAATGTTACGGTCTCGTTGCGGTACCATCACGTCGGGTATTTTAACTGTTGGATCATCTATTCACAATAAGTCTTTCATTTCGTACACGGGGGGTCTTTTAATAGTGAGAAAAAGGGATCGAACAGCAGAAGTCGTTTTATCTGTCACGAGCGCCTACCCGATATCAGGGGAAGGTCAGGTCCAAGGGCGACGATCAGGCTCGTACCTCGGGTATCAGGGAAAGACATCTTTCAGGGATTGGTATCTTCTCATCTGTGCTA